TGAGGGAGGGGTGAGGATCTTGTGCTGAACAGGGACACTCTTTGTAAGTTTATATTTAAAACCTTACTGTGATGCAGTCCTTAATCAGGACTTGCAGGCTGTGATTAATAATCCTTGTTTCCTGCCTGACTTACTTAAGAGCCTATCAGTTTAGCCTGACTTTGACATGACATTATAAATGATCAAATTAATTTTTAGCCTAGTGAAGAATTTGCAGCAAGATGGAAACATTGCTTGTGCAACAAAGTGCTCCAAATGCCTCTTCCAAACTGTGCCACCTGGTAACTACAGAGCTTGGAATTCCTACATCTATAATGTGAGAATAATGGGATTTACCTGTGTCATGGATTGTGATCATCAGTTGATGCCTGAATTGTTCCACTGTCCCAGGTTGCTCCAAGTCCCATCAAGCCTGGCCTTGAACACTTCCAGAGATGGGGCAGCCACAGTTTCTCTGGGCACCCTGTGCCAGAGCCTCTTCACCCTCACCAGGAAGAATTTCTTTCCAATATCCCATCTATCTCTGCCCTCTGGCAGTGGAAGCCATCACCCTCATCCTGACACTCTAGACCTTGTCCCAGCTCTCTCTCCAGCTCTTTGGGATCTCCTTTAGGCACTGGGGATCTAAGGTCTCCCCAGAGCCTTTTCCTCTGCAGATGAGCAACCCCAGCTCTCCCAGCCTGGTTGCAGAGCAGAGGGGCTCCAGCCCTCAGAGCATTTCTGTGGATTTCTTGGGACTACTCCAGCAGCTCCACATGTTGTGTTGGGGTCCAGAGTGGAGGCAGCTCTGCAGGTGGAGTCTCACCTGAGTGGGGCACAGGGGCAGAATCCCCTTTTAATGAAACACCCAGGTTTGTACAATGGACCTACAAGAAAGGACAGAGAAATATCTGGGGAATATTCAATGCACAGCCATTCTTGGGAGCCCTGAGTTCATCCAGTGCTTGCTGAAGTTACTTGAATATTCCAAGGATTGGCCCCAGTGAAGTACATGATTGGTCTGGGGAACAGTCTCATGCTCAGAAAGAGGAATCTGGGATTTGGAACCAGCCTTTGCAGGTTGTGGAGCTGCTCAGTACATCAGCCAGTCCTCTGGGGAGCTTCCTTTCAGTTACTGTGGGTGATGGCAGCAACAGCCCCTACGGACACCACACCTGGGGGTGCTGTGAAGTCCTGGGGGGTCTTCCCTGGGGCCAGACTTCTCTGTGCAGACCTGGCTGGTGCTTGCCTGGTGGCGACTGCTTCAGCCTTGCAGCCCTGAGTTCTAGGGAGCAAACCAGCTTGGTGGGGAGCCAGCAAACTGCCTTAGCACCTGCAGTGCTACAAGCAGCAGGTTTTGTGTTTTGAACACTTTGTTAGGGTCAGGAGCAGCCCTTGGCTCTGTATCCTGCAGGAACAAAAGTTCCCCCTGGTAGAGGCTTCCCTTTGAACCTTCTGCACTGGCAGATTGATCCTGCGGCCTCTGTATGGTGCCTAAAGAGAGCAGGGCTTGCTGAGATCCTGCTCTCACAACCATGTGGGCAAGTTTCCATGAGTTAATTTGCTTTGCTGCAACAGGCAGAAGCAGGGCCAGGTCTTCTCAGGAGCCTTGAGTTTACAATCTGATCATCCACACCCAGCATCTCTGGGGCTGTGCACACACACCCCTCTCTAGTGCTGTGGGCAGCCAAAAATTTGGGAGATCCTCTGTGAAAACAGCCAAGAAGGGCGGGGTACTCATTTTAAATTGAGGGTGACTTGAAAATTATTTTTCTGCATAGTGGAAAGTAGAGTCATAAACTCCTTGTAGTATTAATCATAGATGCGTTTTAAGGGAAGATTGTTATCTCTTGGTCTGGGCTGTGTTAGCAGCTGAAAGTCCCAGCCCTGGCTCTGCTAGGAGCTCTCCTGACAGGGGGGAGAAGGCAGCTCTTGTTCTGGAGAAATAATAACACATAAAAGGAAATATTAGGTAATTATGGCCAATAGGGAACTGAAGTTCTGTTGAACAAACTGAAGGCTGCCCCTCAAAAAGGGGTGAGGAAGCAGGGAGAAGTTGGCCACACTTCTGTGGTGTAATGGATAGTTGGATGTGTCACTGCTACAGCTGCTCTCCTGCACTGCAGCTCCACAGGGATAATTGCCCACACCCAGCACTTCTGCATGTGCATGGGAGTGGATGGGACCATGGTGTGAGGGTTGTGCTGGGATGAAAAGAGCAACTTCCATTTGCATCCCCGAGCAGCCGTGTGTGTGCACAGACAGCGCGCTCCACCGGAACAATCCCCAGGGTGTCTGGGCAGGCAGGGTGATAATGTAAAAGGAATGCAGGGAGGGTAAGGAGACAAAATCAGCATCCTGGGTAAAATCCTGCCCTGGTCCCCAGTGGCAGTTGGCTCCTCTGAGCACCATCTCTCCTCCCGCCCTCCCTGGGAAGGGCAGGCGCTGCCCGTACTTGTCATGCCAGTCACACACATGCTGGTGCACAGACTAACACCCTCCACAATAAATCAAAAAGATTAATTACTAGGAAAAAAAAAATCCCACAACCCCACTTGCAGCATTTGAAATGCGGCTCAACCAGTGCTCTGCTCTGGTTATTCATGGGGAAAAGAAATCACCTCCTGAATCGAGCAATTGAGAATGCAAATATCCCAGCCTGGCTCAAAAGAGGAATCAAGCTCTGTACTGTCAAGCTGATTAGCATCCTGTTCTGTGGGGTACTTCCCTGAGCCTAGAGGGAAAATTTGGGGACAACTGTGCTTAATGCTTAGGGATGAGGTTTCTGAGTTTTGCCCAGAGAGAAATTACAGTCTTGCTACACCCATGACAGACCATAGAGATGTTTTCATGTTCTCTTCACAGTGACTGCCCTTTCTCTGCTGAGATCTTTCAGCCTTTTGTTTCCTGTCACTGACCAGCTGTTTTTTGTGAGTTGAGTTTTTTTGTTGTTGTAAAACTGAAGCTTTCTACAGGCAGGGGAACAAAGATTTTCTTTTTTCTCTTGTGAGCAGGAAGGGAAAGTACATCGGAGCAGTTTCTCATGGGACTGGGACTTCTGCTTGCAAGAAGGATTTTACACTTTGTTTTGCCTTTTTCCTCTTTCCCTGAAAGCAGTGTAGATGTGTCTTCCAGAAAAACTAGGAATTATATCCTGATCCCTTTCAGTCCATATCCCAGCAGTAGGGTGGGAAATGCAGCATTTGGGAGTTGGAAAATACTCGGCAAGAAAGAAGCAAAATGAATCCCAGTGTTCTTGTTGTTATGTCCCAGTGAACATAAATCCTCTGTACCATTCCTCATGGCCTGCTGCAGATGTCAGAGAGGAAAATAAAACAAGAGCTTCCCTATGAAGTGCTGTTCATCCCTTCTTAGCCCTGTGCAGGAGCTTGAGTGTGGCTGGAAATTGCAGTGGCAGTGACAGGCAGCTTGTGCACGCTCTTTTCTGCCCCAAAAAGCTGCTGTATATCCTTATTTCCCAACTTGATTTTTCAGCTGGACTTCACTCTTCTTTCTCCCTTTGCCATCCTCTCTGTTTTCCGAGTTTGCCTGCAGCAATGTCCAGGAGACTTTGGAGCTGTTTTGACATGTGCTGGCAGGGTGGGCCTGTTGGTGAGGACAGATCCCTGGATAGTCCACGTGAGATGTGTCCCAGGCCTTGGGTTTTTCCTGAGCCACCCTGACAGATCAGGCCTGGGATGGGTTTGCTGCCACTGCCCAAGTTAAGCCTCTCCTGTTGGATTAAGGCTGCAGAACAAGGGCTGTCACTGCCATAAAATCTGTGTTTGAAGTGGAATTTCCATTAAGCTCTCCCATTTCTCAGAACCTGCTGCTTTATCTCCAAATATAAAATTTATGTTGAGGGCTTTTAGACTGGATATCAGGGAATGGTTCTTCCCCCAGAGGATGCTGGGCACTCCCCAGGCTCTCCAAGGAATAGGCACAGCCCCAGGCTGCCAGAGGTCTAGGAGTGTTTGGACAATGCTTTCAGACACAGGGAGGGAGTTTGGGATGTCTGTCTCTGTGCAGGGCCAAGAGCTGGAATTTGATCATCATGTGGTTCTGTAAATTAGAGCCACACCCTTTTAGCGTGGTGGCTGCTCTGCACATCCTTTACATAGAAATGCATGGGGTGTTCAGCATTGTCCTGCTCATTCCCTGCTGCAACAAGTCTCTTAAGGTTTCTTTGATTTTTTGGGAGAGCTGTTAATTGGAGGAGGGAGGCCAGATATAAGCATCAAATTGTGTTTTCATGTAAAAATTAAATTTTTGAAGATGTAAACATATGCAGTGTTTATTGTAGGCCAGTTCAGCTGACTGTGGCATAACAATTTTTGGAATTCAAAAGGAATGTGGCTGTGGTCCAGGGGTTGCTGGGACTTTCTCCCAGTTTCATCTTCAAGTCAATGCATGGGATGAATGAAAACAGCAGCAGCATGTCTTGGTGAAATCTGACATTTCCCCAGCACTTTGTGCTCATCAGAGACTGGGCAACCATTGCCTGGGATTAAGTATTTCTAGGTTACCACAGTGGTAAAGGGGAGGGTGATGATTTCAGGTATGTCCTAACAGGGTTCATGACATGAGTGCTAACTATGTGGGAGTTACTCTTTCCAACCTGGATCTTTTTTTGTTTACTGGGTGTTATCTCCTTGATAATACTTTTGGGTTGCTCTTTTGCTTATGGAGTTGTTTCAGTTTAATTACACTACATATGATGGTTGCTGTCCCTCTGTTGCTCATGGAAGGGTAGCTGAGCCTGTGTGCCTCATGTACAGAGAAGTGGAATTTCCATAAGCTCTTCCATTGCTCACAACCTTCAGCTGTGTTTCCAAAATGTGCTGGAAACATTCCCTCCAGTTCCCTGCCTGGTGAAGCTCCCTCTTTTTGAGTTGCAGCCACCAGAAACTATAAGAAATCTCAGTGTTTCATGTTAGAGATAATGAGTTTATCATTGCATTTGTCTCCTTTCCATTCCATTTTTGGTCTTGCTAAAGAGGTTTCCCTTGTTTCTTCCCCAGAATGCCAGGACTGGTGGGCAGCAGGTTGCAGACAGAACACTTCCGCACTTCCCGCAAACTGCACAGTCTGTTCTGCTGTGAAAAGCCTTCACATAGTGACAGACTCCAGAGAGCTATCAGAAAAGCTCCAGAGGCACCAGCCTTTCCTAATCAAGGTAATGCAGGGATTTGTGAAGCTGGGTGATGAGTCCCAGCTCTTGAACAGCACGAGCCCAAAACCCCTGCCCAGTATTTTCACCCATGAACTCAAGCTGCTCATTCAGTACGTGTGTCTAAGAAGACATCTCACACCAGTGTAAAGATGTGGGAGGAAAGAGCTCCCTGCATTATTTCTCTGACTAATGATCATTGTATTTGGACACTTAGCAATTCACGTGGCTGTTGCTCTTGGATGTTTTCTAGTGGGAGGGAAATGGGAGCAGGGGGCAGCCCTGTGGGCACAGCTTTTATCTTTGTTTCTTGTTCTTTAAGACAGGGCAGCATCTCTCCTATGAAGAACTGAAGCATTTTCAGTCCCAGGACCCAGAACTGGCAGAGGTTATAATAGAAGAAAATTCAGCTGAATTATGGAGCTGCCCATTTTTCTTTCCCTGGTGAGTCAGACAAAACTTGTGATGGATGGACACATCCTTTCTGTAGGGGTGCTCAGGCTCTGCCTGTGTGAACCACCAGTGCCTGCAAGTTGCAGTTAAACTGGAGGGAAGGTGTACAGGAGTGGGTTACAGGCTGCTTCTGCTTGCTGGCACTGATTTGTTCTGAGGACAAGACTTCTGCACTAAAAATGGAGAGTTGGTGCTTGGTCTCCAGCTATTGCTCCCCTTATAAGATAAAATTGTCCCAGGGACTGCCTGGTCCTGTTCTTCAGGCTGTAAATCATCTGGGCTGTGAGCTCATCACCTGAAGCAGCTGGTTCACATTTCTATCACCTCTGTCTACTGATTGGAAATCCTCCACCACTCGTGCCGACTGAGAAGAGATGCCATGACTTCTGCAAACACTGAGAAGTAATGGAAAATCAAAGAATCCTGCAATTAGTGTTTGGTCTTCTGGAGAAAATACAGCCAACTCTAATCCTGCCCTGTTAACCAAAAGCTCTTTGCCTCATAAAGGCCAAAGTCTTTAATGTGAACAAGACATGTGAGCAACTTGGAGCTCTCTGAGGTGTCAGAGTAAGAACTGCTAGAGGGATGGTCAGGGTAGAGAAGAATTAATCATGTCAGTCCCCTAGACAGGGATGTAAAGATAACAAGCTCCACCTGGCCTTTTCCAGGTTACATTTTCTGGTCTAGAGAACAGCCTTGGATCCCCCCTGCCTCACCACGTGGGTTTGGTTATGGTTGTGTATGATGCCACCTCTCTGCATCTTTTGTAATGAATGGATCTGGCCAGTGACTTGGATCATTTTAAGGGAAAAGGAGAGGGAAATGAAATTCAGGTATCCATAAGGATCTGTTTGTTCCCTCTTTATATGGTCCCGGTGCAGGAGTCCAGAGGAAAGAGGGAAGGAGCACAGGTTTGGAGGCTGAGGTTGAATTGTGCTCCTGACTCCCAGGGCTAATCTGACATGCTGTTTATCAAGCATGAATGTTTGGCAAGAATTTTATCTGGAAAGTAGCTTTTAAATGCAAACATTATCATTGTATGATGGTTCTTTAATATGGGCTGGTTTGTTTAGGAACAAGTCTGTGAATAGATCCCGGATTCTCCAGGAACTTTTCCCTGCTTCCTCTTTGCTGTCCTTCCCCAAGACAGTGTCCCTGGAGAGCTGCTTCCTCATCCACCACCCAGATTTGGGGAATAAGGTGAGAAATTAATTCCAAAAGCTGCCTTCCAACTAATTAATTCCAACTCCTGTCTGTGAGTTGTCTCCTGGGAACTCTGAGTTTTTGTGGGATTCACAGGGTATTTTTAGCTGATACTGTCCTGAAAAGGAGCATTTGGGGTTGTATCAGTTCTGTCCATTCCTGTGTAAAGTGGCATCTCAAGGTGGCTTTGCCTCCCAGCACTTGTGTCTAGTTTGGGGCAGGAGATACCTTGTGCCCATCTCCCTTGGCAGCTGGAAATGTCACAGAAACAGAGGAATTTTAAAGATCATCTTGTTCCAACACCCCTTGCCTGCTCCATTAATGTGTCTGGCCTTGCTCTAGAGCTGGGTGAGGTCTTTCTGTGCACAGTTGGGCAGAATTGTTTTAAGAGTTGCATTTTAGAAGCTGTTCCTGGCAGTGAGTCTCACTCATTCTGAGACACTTGAAGCTTCTGGCCTGATCTCCTCCTCTGTGTTTTCCTGAGTTGTGGGGATGTGCAGGCCCTGCCTTGCCTTGGAGGAGAACCCTTGCATGCAGCTGACCTCAGCTAAGATTCTGTGATCCACTGGTAACTGGTGGAGCAGCACACATATTGTTTGCTCTGTCTCACCTGCCTGCAGGACAGTCACTTGTCCCTGCTTTGGGCAGACAGAGCCAAGGAAAGCTGTCCAAGCTTTTGAAATTCTCTCCTCTTGTCCTAGAGCTACAGCCTGCACAGCCTCTTTGCTGTTGGGAGTGGGCAGCTCACCCTGACTGTTGCACCTCTGGACACGTGCAGAGGACACTGTGAGGTGTTCAAGGTGGAGCTGGAAGCTGGAGATTTGGGTGAGTACCAGAGCTGTGGCATGCAGGGACTGGGAGTGGAATCAGGACACTGCTTCCAGCTGGGTCTTTTCCATCTGACACATCTGACACAGTGGTTTGTGCCATTGTCACCTCCAGACTGGTGTGTGCCTGCTTGTCACAGCACAGGGAGTGGGAGTTTGTGGCCTGGAACACCAACACTGGAGATGCTCAAAGCTGAGCAGTGTGGGTACACAATGGGTATTACAAACCCGGTGCCCACTGAGGGAAGTGTCTTTCCAAAGAGCTGCAGCATGACCACATCCCTCTGTGGGAAATGGGAGCACTCATTAAGGATGGGCTCATCTAACAGAGCCTCTCCATTGCCTCTTCCCAAGGTTATGCCAGCACAGATCACTGGACAATGAGCTTCATGGCCAGAGGGACAGAGCCAGCGGTGATTTGTGATGGAGCTGCCAGCTAAGGATGCTGGGGTGAGAAAACAGAGCTGTTCCCAGAACAAGACTTTCAGCTTTGAAGCCAAGGCAACGTCTTGAGAGGAGCGAGCCAGGGCAACTGGGGCAGGCAGCTTTGCCACCCTGCATGTTTACAGTGTTTAAAAAGGACTATTTTCTTGACCCTTGAGGTAATCCTTTGCCTTTCCTCAAATGTATTTTGGGAGAAGCTCAAGCTATTTATGACCCTCCCTGTCCCCTCAGGTAAGCCCTGGGTTTGCAGCAAAGGGGTTTTTTTCCCAGGAGCAGCAGATGGATTTCTCAGGATGAGATTCACCTTATGTTCTTTGTGGATTATGGCACTTCTGAAACTTCCTGGGGGGTTTGGGAGTGGATGGGGTGTGTGACATTTCTGTGTACATTCCTCCTGAGGAGGAAGCTTTGAGCCTGTGTAGTCAGGCCAGTTCTATAAAGGGAATGAATTGGTGATGTGTCCCAGCTCCCTCACGTCCGCAGCTGTGTGAGCCCTGCAGAGCTGATCTTGGCTCCTGCTCCCAGGCTGGGGAGAGCCTTGAGCCTGAGGGCAGAAACTCTCACCCACTTCGTCCTTCTTGTACCAAAAGAATCCCTTCAAGCCTCTCTGTGTTGTGATCACCCTTCTGCAGCTCTCTGTCAGCAGTTGTGAGTGAGTCAAATGGTAATCATGCTTTTCTTCACCTCCACTTCCTTTCCTGTAAAAACACCAACATGTGTTAGTGGTGCTGGAAGTACAGGAGTTCTGGATGGAGACACACACGTGTTAGTGGTGCTGGCAGTGCAGGAGTTCTGGATGGAGCTGGGGCTGGGAGAGAGCAGCTCTGTCCAGCTTTCACCTCAGCCACCAAGGGCTGCACAGCCGTTCTCAGCAGCTCCTTGTTTTTGGAAGCACTGCCTACGTTCCCAGCCCACAGTACCTCTGGGAGCACCTGAAACCTCCCTCTTCCCTGGCATATTTTTGCATTGACTCCTTCCAGACCTGGAACTCTGTCTTCAGAATGGACGTTGGTTTTTCCTGGGTCCTTTCCAAGCTGCCTTTGCGTGTTTCCTGCTGCTGGAGCAGTGCTGTCTCCAGTGCCCTGAGAGAGGCTCGGGTTCGGAGTTTGCAGACTGCGGATGCTCCGGTCCCTTCCAAGTCTGATCCTTTGGGTCTGATCCCACTGCTGAAGATCATTTACAGATGTGTCAGGCTGAACTCATAGGCCAGGGCTGGAGTTCAGGACATACTCTCACACTTGTTAATATGGATTTGGGAGGGGTATTTGGTTGACAGCGGATTAACTCTGTTCTCAGGAGCAAGAGCCTTTTTCTCTGTAAATATTTTAGGTACATGTAAAATGACAGATTGGGAAAATGTCTGTCCAGCCTTTGTTTTTGAGGAGAATGGGAGCAAGCATTGTGCTAATCTGATTAGGAGCTGACAAAAGCTGCCAAGTGGGATGACCATGTCTGGCTCCTGTACAAGAATAAGGCAGAGGACAGTTCCTGCTCCAAAGAATTTAGTCTGAGGCCTTGACAGTACAAACATTTCTATGCATAACCCTTATTTTTCTCCTGTCAAAACAATGAGAACAAGCCCAGCACCTATGTCAGTCTGTGCATGGCCCTTGGTGCTGGACACACACCAGATCTAGCAGAACCAAAAGGGGAGAGTCTGGCTCTGTCAGGATAGAAAAGCACTAATATAATTTGTTACCAAGTATTAAAGGGAATTGGACTAATGTAACTTCCATTAGTATTCTCACTGCTTGGAGTCTATTTCACACTCATGACACTACATTCAGTTTTGTACATGCCAAGACACACACATACACCCACACCACCCCTCTCCCTCTTAAAGCTTGGGTCTTAGTTAATGGAAATTTGGGAGTTCAGTGATGGCAGAATTAGGGCCTCATTAGTGACTGTTGCTATTTACACCTTGGCAGCTTCTCAAATCAAATTCAAAGGCTGACCAGGTTACTTCACCTCTTACTGGTTTTGTATTTGACCCATTTTTGTAAAGCATTTGCTCAAAGATGCTGCTGGAGCCATTCTTGCTGAGATTGTGGTGGTTCAGTGACACTGTCACTGCTAAGTGTCCTTGACTGTAACTTGTAAAAGAGCTGCGGGGACAATTCCCAAATGTCTGTGAAATGTTTGGATTTTGAGAGTCACACTTAAGCCATTGTGGCTGTCTGGCTCTTTTGGGAAGAAGCAAAGAAAATGGATCTATTTACAGTTGCTGTTTGGACTTGGGGGAGGAAGGGGCAGGTTTGTGCCTGTTTAGCAGAAATGTTCTCACGTAGTGCTTCTCCTTCCCTCAAAGAGTTGCAGCTGGTTGGACAGGAGCTGGTGAGTCTGGCCTGTTTGCAGAGCAACCTTCCAAGTGCACTTTATGGGCTCTGCATAAGTTTCCAGCTCTGTCTCAACGATACATTGCATATGTCCCAGCCTCGCTCCCTTCGGAGCTTACATCATTTGTTTTTAAGCTCTCCGGTATATTTTCTCTTCCTCTTCCAAAAGCTGTAAGGAATTAGCTGCTAAACTAAAACAGGAGGGCAGTTCTCCTGCTGATAAAGAGTCGATTTTGGCCAAAGTGCAGAACCCCAGTCTGCAGCACGGCTTCCAGAGCAGCTCCTGTCTCCAGCTGCCAGAGGAGTGGTGCTCACACCTTCCACATCCCAGGGCAGGCAAGCAGCCACGGTGGGAAACCCAGAGGTGAGGCCACAATGGCAGAACTGGGATGGCCAAAGGGAGGTTTTGATACCTTTATTGCAATCAAGCCCTGGTCGTCTTCCACATCCAGAGCTCCAGCTTCACAGAGTCCCTGGAAAAGCTGCAGACTTCCCTAGAGAGGCTGGTGGTCCTGGTGGCCTGCTGAGGTGGAACTGGGGGGAACAGGGCTGTTCCTGCAGCTATTGAGGTTTCACAGCCATGATCACATAACTCACAGAGGGCGTGTCCCACCATGGTCTCCCTCACCTCAACTCCCCTTTTGCACTCTCTGTGCTGGTTTGGACAATCTCCCATTCTCCCTCTCCCCAGCTCACACAAGTTCCCAGTTAACACATTTAAAAATCCCTTTGTGTGCTTCAGAACTTATTGCCTGTGAGCTGGGAGATGGATTCCTCCTCACCCCACATTCCAAAGGCTGCAAAGCTGCTCTGAAATCACACCAGAAATCGGTACTACCCACGAGCCCAGTGGGCAGAGGTGAGGAGGGGTCACCTCTGCACTTGCCAGGCTGGAAGGACGGGCTGTGCCCATCAGCTGGGCAGGAGGATCGTGGTTTAAAGCTGCTCCCCAAAGCAGGGGTCACTGACCGGTGCTGTCAGTCAGTCCTGAACTCAGGGTAACTGAAAGGAGGAGAAAGGATTATTATGATTTACTTCAGTACCAGGAAATCAGCGGCCCCCACGGGAGCCAACCTGGCAGTTTCTATTGATTCTTTGTTTTGCTTTCTTTGTTCTGTTTCATTTTTTTTCCCTGCCCACTGTTACTGCACACATTGATTCCCCTGAGGGGTCTCTTTGCAAGGCCCTGGAGAGCTTTGAGTCAGATTTCCCAGGAGTCTCCAGATTGCAGTTTCTCCCACCAGGCCTGTTTTTGCAATGTTCTGGAGGAGAAGCTGGTTTTTCTGGGCTCCCTCCCCTCACAGCTTCCTGGGCTGCAGCAGGAGGAGGTGGGGAGCAGGAGAGCATCTCATGGTAGAGATGCTATATGTGAGCTACATAAACAGCAGTGTCTCAGAAAAGGGATCCTTCTGCCTTGAAACCCTCTGGTTCCCTCCCTCCAGGAGGGAAATTTCCACACACCCCAATCCCAGGTCCTTGTTCAGCCCCATGGCCCCCAAGAGAATTGAACACTTCCTGGGGTGAGGCCATTTCAGTGGGTGCACAAAGAGCTTTGGCTTCCTGCAAACCAAACTTCCTCTTGGTAAATTTTATGGACAGAACTCGATATCCTGTTCAGGAACCTTCTCCTTGTAAAGGGCAGAGATTGACAAAGGAGATGCTGGACTTCCCTTTGCTTTGGAGATTCAAACAAATGACAGGTGATTTATTTTTAGCATTATCTCCTTGTCCTGGGGAGGGGAGTCACATTCGGAATGCTCAGAGGTGCTGGGAAGTAAAGCTATATATGCATAAAGACTGTTTTAATGCTGAACACTAAACTTAGTGATGGATTTAAAAAAGAATGTGAATATGCACTTAATGCAGAATTTTATGGATGGTCCTAATTTAATATATTGCAAATTTTGTAAATAATTGGGAAAAGCCTGTAAAGTATGTAAATAAATGAAATTTGTATGTAAGAAGAATAAAAAAGTTTTTAATTTTTGCAATTAAATACAAGTGTTAATGACCCTTTTCCCTTTTCCTGATTTTTATTTGCATGTTGCATGTCAGCTATTCAGGAGTTATTTAACCTTTTTTTGGGCACTTTTTCTAAGGGAAGTGTAATTTAAGGGAAGTGAAAAGTCAGAACACTTTTGTTAGGAAAATGTCATAAGAAACACTTTGTGAAAAAGGAGTAGTTTGGGAAATGTTCTGTGGGTTTCAGCCTGATTCTCTGAACAGTGTTGATGCAACAGCTCTGCCTGTCCCTCCTTTATTTTCTTCCCAGTAACAATCTCCATCTTTCCTTCACAATTCAGTTTGTTTTAGCCAAACTTTGAGGCATGGAAGACGGTAAACTCCTTCAGAGCTCATAAATCCAGGCGAGTAGGGAGAAAAGAGATCCTGTTACTCCCACACCCGTGCAGGAGCCTTGTAGACACCGGCCAGCCCCGCTGGAGACCCTCGAGACGTGAATCAGAAGAAGGCCAGGCTTGGTCACTTCTGTGCTGCAGAGTGGGGCCTCTCTGGAGCCAGCAGGCTGGAGCAGAGCCCGTCAGGTGCTGG